AGATACAATAGTCATTTTGTTTGTGCTTGCTATTTTTACATATCTGTCAGATGTAAAAGGGAATTGTGAGATGTTCTTAAACGAGACAAGCACCTTCTAGCTGATATGGGGGCACAGTTTTTGGCAGATAATGTTAAATCTGTCCTTATTTCAGATAATGTGAAATCTCTCCTGATCGCAGATAATGTTACATCTGTCCTTATCTAAGATTATGTTAAATATGTCCTTATCTCAGATAATGTTATATCTGTCCTTATCTCAGATAATGTGGCATCTGTCCTTATCCCAGATAATGTTATATTTGTCCTTATCTCAGATGATGTGAAATCTGTCCTTATCCCAGATAATGTTATATATATCCTTATCTCAGATAATGTTACATCTGTTCTTATCTCAGATAATGTTACATCTGTCCTGATCTCAGATAATGTTACATCTGTCCTTATCTGCGCAGACAACTTTATTGAGTCTGTCCGAAAAAAGCTCAGATAAACACTGATGCTGTACTAATAGGATGCATTCGCCACTTATTAGTCCTCATATCTGTGTAAGAGTGTGGACAGTAGGAAAATGCGGCGGGCACAATAATAAGAGTCACAAACCTGGCCGTGGATACGAGCGAGTCATAAATAGGGTGGCTAAATAGGAGTTTACTCATTTTATTTTCTTGTTTTGAGAAATATTTCGTATTCTTTTTGATTACGAGGCAGGTTAGACTCGTCTCGTTCTATGGTTCTTACACAACGCACTCAGCTTTGCTTCTGTGAGAAGTTAACTTGTAAAACTATGCAAGCCAATAAAACTGGTGGCTTGTGTTGACCTCCTTGGCCACTCCAGTGACTGTCCTGTTTGTCTTCCCGCTTTGCCTTGTTTTTAGTAAAGCTGCTTAGCAGGCTTTTCCGTGCCATATCGGCAGGCACCACCACCACTCCTCCTTCAGGGTACTTACCTCTTGAAGGGAAAAAAAGCAATCACTTAAAGAGAAAAGCAAGACGTTTGTTTTGTTGTCTGTGGTCAGCCCCCCGAGGGGTTTTGCAGGAGCCTTTCAGAGCTGTTAGGTGCCTCCAAGTGCTGAGGTTGCAGAGGGGAATATTGTGAATTTGCATTTAATTAAGATTAAGATGTAAAGCCAACCGTTTTGAGCATCAAGATAAGCGTGGGGGAAGGTTGTTTTGTGTTCCCTTTTGAAACACAAAGGTCAGTCGAGGGATTTGTGAGTACTAGATGGAAGACAACGTTATGTGCGCACACACACACATCCACACATCCACATCAATACAAATGTATACAACAACAAAAAAGCCCTGGTAACCATGTTTGCTTACGTTGCTGTGCCCCAATGTTCACACACACACACTGCAAACACAAATAAACAATCTACAAAATCTTCTTGGTTCTTTCGGCAAAGTCACGTAGAAGGTAAGTAATAAAATAATAAAAATAAAACATAATAAAATAATTCTCACGACGTTTCGGCCACAACGCAAGCAGCCGTCCTTTACCGAAAGAACCAAGAAGATGAATCCCTGCAGTCACGAAAGCTTTAAATCGAAATTTAACCTACAAAATGGCAACACGAAGTTGCCCTCTGCCTTTTTCTTTGCATCGGTGGCTGTTCACTTTATTGCCGAAACGAAAGCCCCCACACTATTGTGTTGCATTGTAAAAAAAAGCATTTTGAGCGCAGCTGGGGGTGTGTGTGTGTGGTTTTTGCACTTTCTCTCTCGGGATGACGGCTTCCCTCCTGGGCAGTGCTGGCTCAACAGTCGCGCTTTGCTTGCGCCGGCTGGCCGACTGCCTGATGATGCTGGGTTGGGTGCGTGACCGTGGATAGAGAACTGTGACTTGGCACAGGGCAGAGAGACTGGGAGGGTTGCTTACACCCCGCGCACTCTGCCTTCCTGCCCAACGCAACGGCAGCAAAGACAAAGATGCCCCCGTGTAGCCTTTAACAGACTGTTCGGGCAAGTGCTGTTTGCGAGCACCTATGAAGGCTGGCACGGCGCACGAGGGGGTGGGTGGCCAGCACCACGCCCGGCCACCGTTGTCTCCCTAGCGCTGATGCTCGCACACCGCACCAGGTACTCATTTTGAGGCTGAGTCGACCTAGGGGAGGCCCGTGATTGGTTCGGATAATCGTCACTGGTATTGGCCGTGAGCTGGAATCGAACTCGGATCGCCGGGTTCGTAACGCAGCGTAGCGCTAACCCCTACACTAACGCTCCCCACACACACGTGCACACACCCGTGCACACACACGCACACACACGTGCACGCACGCACACACGCACACACACGCGTACACATGCGCACACACACGTGCACACACCCGTGCACACACGCACACACACGTGCACGCACGCACACACACGTACACATGCGCACACACACACGTGCACACGCGCACACGTGCACACACACACGCGCACACACACGTGCACACACACACGCGCACACACACGCGCACACACGTGCACACACACGTGCACACACACACACACGCAGCTGTACGTGGTGATAAAGGAACCCTTGTCTCGCGTCCTTCCTGGGCACTTCATTATTCTTCTTCTTGCTCCACTCATCTGTGCTCACACCGCTCATGGCGCACACCTTAGAAACGTGCGTTTAGATTATTTGGCGGCTGTAAGTCATCCACGTGATGGGCCACTTCGTTGAGCTGTCATTTGTGGCCAGCTCGCTTCTGAAAAAAAGAAGCTAATAGCTCAGTGGGCTTTACCTGGTAAAATAAAATATTTTAGTTTTAATTTACATATTATTTTAGTGACTTGCTTACCTTTCGTAAGCGTTGCACTCCTCTTCTTGGTTCTTTCGGTAAAGTCACGTAGAAGGGAAATAATAAAGTAATACAAATAAAACATAAATTACAATTTTATTAAATACAATTTTATTATGTTTAATGTTTATTATTTTATCATTTCCCTTCTACGTGACTTTACCGAAAGAACCAAGAAGATGAATCCCTGCAGTCACGAAAGCTTTAAATCAAAACGTTGCACTCCTATCGTGTTTTTGTATTGTTTGTTGTGACGTTCAGACCCGCCCCTACTGGACATCGGTGAAAAAGAGCTTCATAGCCCATCGGATTCCTCGAACGTGAACTGCACCATCAAGTGCACACATTAGTTTGGTTAGAAAGTCGTGTACTGCCCAGCACTTATGAGCAGGGAAGCTGCCCTGCTGGTGTAATGGTGACCACACAAAGGACCTTCAATCCAGATGTTGCCAGTCCGCCCTCCTGGCACGGCGGTGGAAAAAACGGGCACGTCTCTTGACCCCCCCACCCCTCTGCAGAAGTATAATTATATAGGTACGCCACAGTTTGATGGGTAGGTCACGTGTGGCGGGGTAAAGTGTGGGGGTGACTCAAACCTCTTACAAGATGTCTGGTCAGGGTGGAAGAGTAGGCCAAATATTCCTCGAGTGGCGCGATCAAGCAATTGCGGGGCTGTGCACCCGTTCACCACTGGCTGCGCGCGGACAAACGTACGTTGGTACGTTGCAGGTTTCACTTGCGGGCTACTAAGAACTTTGCTGACAAGTTCAAATGCAAAGTGTTTTCTTAAACGTGAAAGCTGAGAGGAGCTTTCATGTACAATGCGCCGCATGATCTGGCCCCGCTCCTTCACACTTTTGTTTTCTTTCATGGCGTGGCAATTGTACTTGACTGACTTGCAGCTGTGCTCCACGTTCCCAGTAGGTTTTAGAAATTGGCTGGCCGAAGCCAAATATCGTTATTGCATCTTTCAGCATTGCATGCACACACACGATAAAATGTGTGTTTTCTCTTAAAATTTTATTCCTCCAATGATTAATTGCGTCCTGTCAGCATGGCAGGGTATTAATGTGTTACGTATTAACATTCTAAAATGTTTTCAATTTGACATGGCACTCAATTTGAACAACTGCACACTTTTTATATCTTAACTTAAACAAATTCCACACCACTGATTTTGCCTGTGGGTGGAAATGTGTTTTGCGTCTATATAGATAAATAACAGATAAAATCACGCAATGTATCATTTATGGAAATATACATTCTCATATTTCGTGCCAAAGCTGAACTTGCTTAAAAGTGAAGTTGAAGTGACTTCCTGCTCAAAAGAACATCGAGGCAGTGCTCCATCTCCCTGGTTACAGCTCTGGGTCAGTGGTGGAAATTCCACATTCCTATGACAGGGGCCGGGGGGGGGAGAGTCTTTCCACAGGCAGCCACTGTTGACTTCCCTACAAAGTGCTCTTTCATAATCAACGTTTTTGGGTTTAGATCGCGTTATTTATAAATGTGTCGTAACCCTCCACCACCCGACACGGCCAATCAGTAAAAAAGTGTCACGTTGACAAAAGACAAATAGTTCACTGCTTTAGCCCACCGGTGTGTTGAAGCGTGAAACCACAACATGTACAATTTGAGTACGACGTTTCGCTGGTAATTGCATTCAGCATCATCGGGCAATTCGCCAGAATGGTGAGGCTCTGCTGTGTCTCCCGTTCTTATATAGAGCAGCAGCAGGGTGACGTCATCATTAACTCATCAGCCTACGTGTTAAAGTGCTCTTTATTGTATCGACCCCAGATGGATGATGGGCTGAGTTAGCAGCACGCAACCTGGAGTTCAACTCACAAATTCTGAATTGCGAGCCTCATCGCCGGTGATGAACTGTACTACTGCGTGAGCTTTTTGCAGTTGTGCTGGAGAGCTTTCCGGCAATGCTGTTTTCTCCTCCCAGATTGTTACAGCGTGTTGTTTGGCAGGATTCCCGATGTTTCACACCGCGTGCCGATAGTCACCTCCTAGAGGAGCTGCGAGCGAAACTTCATGCGTCGTGCCTAACAACGCTCAGGGTACAACCCGAAAACATGTCGGAGAAACTGTCTTGTTGTGTTTTTGTTAACAAAAGGTATTTTCCATAATATCGGTTTGTTTGGGTTATTTTGTTTTTATTATCTGTCTTATGCTGTTTTTTTTATTGTTTTAACAGAAGCCTGAACCAGGAGACACAGAGGAACCCGAGACGTCCCATCTTCCCGAAGGCTGGCAGTGCTTTAGCTCTCCCCAGGGACCAAAATATTACGTCAACACAAGCACAAACGGTAACCAAAGACGTAATTACAGCTCAGTTGACATACATTTGGAGGGCCTGATCTCTGGCAGACAAGGCCGTAGCCATGGAGTCAACATTGGGGGGACGAAATCTTCCAGGGGGTCTGGGGGTCCTCCCCCCAGAAAAACATCTAAATGTTACAACTAATTTCCTGCCTAAAATATAACAAAAATTCCATAACACATAGGATGGACTTTTTTTTTTACAATAATGTCTAATAGTGTATTGTATTTATTACATTGCTGTGTTTTTTCTTTTTTACCTTTTATTGTTTTATTGTATGTCATGTCAGAGATTAGGGATTAATAAAGTACAACCATAACCACAATCATATAAACAGAAATCTCTTTTATAGCAATATATTGGGGGGGGGGGGGATGTGTCCCCCCCCCCCCCCCAATATATATTATAATTATGGCCTTGCTTGCAGGTAACATTGACATTATAAGCAAGGAACGACGATGCGTGTGTTGTAACATTTTACAACCCCTGTAATCGTTTTAATTATAAGCATAATGTACAGCCATTTGTCAATCCAATGCTGGGTGACGGCCTCCCCATTGCGTGTCATCTTGCCACCGTGGTGCCCCTTTGCCACCGTTTACATTGCAGTGCATCATCCACTGCACCACCTTGTATGAATAAAGCACACGGTATATTTGTTTTCTGGCTAGGCATTGCACTTGGCTTAATGGGTTGATAGCAACGTGCACTCATCTGCAGCACTGCTCCACCACCAAGAGTAAAATGGTCACTGGATCGCGCGTCGCTCTAAGATGCGCTTGTGCGGCGGTCTGGAAGCCACTGGAGCTATGCACTTTTATATCGTCTAGATTGAAAGTTCACATCTTTAGAATTGCATTTGGTGATTAGTTTGTTGTTTCTTCCCACCCGCACCTCTGATTAGCACGGTTGGCTACGCATGGTGAGAAAGAAGTTCAACATACGTACGCACATAAATGCATTCATACATTTCTGAAATATTTAAACGGAGCATGGTATAGATAAAGTTTAAGTATTTGTCCTGCAATGTAACATTCTGCAGAGCACCATTTGAGTTTATTTTATTTAACCATGAGAACTCAAGAGACCAGGACAGTCTCATTTGCAAGAGTGACCTGGGTAATGCTTTTGGGCAGAGATGGTAGTGCATTCAATCCTCTGTGAAAATACCTGCATGTGTATTGTGTTTATCTTGTACTCTATCTGAAATGCATAGCAAAGAGAAGGTGAAAATTGTATATGTTGATCTGAAAATAACAGTGACCACCACCAATCATAGCTGATGCTCATGTAATATGTATTCAAAAGCAAGTATTGTTTAATTCATTTTATCGGATTTTCTAAAAGCAGCCGAATTTATCTGAAGGATGTGCATCTCCATATGCGTGACACCTAGTTTGACAGATCACGTGGACAATGAGCCCAACACACTTGTCGTGTCTTCCATTTGCTCCATAGTTCGTATGTGTTTGATCAGATTACCGAATAATTCCTCCAGATGTGTACACACTGCCCGAATTGCAGGAAGATGCAATGGTTAGAGTGCACATTTATTGCTGGCTTGAAGAAGACAAGCATGTTGATAGTTATGAGACTATACTTTCATGTTATATTTTGGATATAGACTTTAGGTATGATAATATGTTTCTACTTCTGCTGTAGTAATACTGTGCTGAGTTTGGATTTGGGCAGCACACAATTTAGGGTTTAGAGTACATTTCCTGCATTAGGCTCGGCCACCCAGTTGGGTGACCTTCAACCCATTCACAGCAGCTTTAGTAATTGAAGTGACGCAGGGATGCGAGTCACGTTTAGGCACATCGGGCTTCTCGCAGCATCCACTCGTATATGGAAAGAAAACAGTCAAGACGTGCAATGTCAGACTTGCTGACTTCAAACAAATATATTGGAAGGTTTGCAACATTGCCAAGGGCATATGGACACAGATGGTATGCATCAATTATGTAAATGTTACTTGTGTAACAGAATGTATTAGCCGTCTTTAGAAGAACGCCATGCCAATGCAGTTTTGGTAACTTTAGCAACTGGCAGTGGAGTATATTAGACAGATGGGATTTTTTTTGGAACAAGGCTCGCTGATAGCCAATTGATTTTACACATCGATTCTTCAAGGGAAGCCTGACTCAATATTTATCATCACCAACCTTGGCAAATGCACTGCTGGATGAACATACCTGTCAACCCCGAATCAGTGCCTCCCTGATTACAGACCAATTCAGACCTTATTGCTCACCCCGTGCCTTTATAAATCTCAACGTTCATCCTACAAAGTCCCATCACAAGGGAGAAAGACATTTTTTTTGCCCGTATTGAAACGGCTGTACGCCACCGTATGGACCTGAAAACTCAATTTCCCTGGACAAAAATACGGGGTAAACCTTGTGGGTTGACACGGTGTGGCTGAATGACTCCCCAAAGCCACCACCACCATCTCTCATGGATTCTGCGGTGTAACAATGCACGCAGACACCTCACGTGAGTTTGATTCCCGGCCATGGCGCTCATCAGTCGACACAAATATATTTGAACCATTTCTGGGCAAGTCCCCCTTCACCACACCGCACAGATCAGCATCGTAAAGTATGGGCACTTCAACTCCCCACGATCAGAGTGGTGAAGTATGGTCATTTCACCAAGCTGATCATGGGAAGATGCGTTTTATCTCGTAGTGGAACTGACAAAGGGCTGAACTTTAATTGTTTTTTTTTTTAAATAGGAGGAACCACAAATATAGGAATGCATAACATCACTTGTTTTTATATTACATTGCAATGATGTAATTTGTCAGCTGTTGCTATCAGCACAATAACATTGAAAGTGGAAACAGGCTGACTTGCGTGCGAGCCAAATCTCGGCAAGAACCTATTCATCTAGTTCTCGGATGTGTTTTTTGGGCTGTACTTCGCGTTTTTCGGCACGAAGTCCGACGTTTCACACACGGCACACCCATCCATCAAAGAGCTTCTACACAGCATGGCCATGACGAGTAAAACACCGATCCCTCTCTTGACACAGACGCAGCAATGCTCTGATACGGGCAGTGGAGAGGGAGGGTGGTTGGGGAGGGGCCTCCTGCCCCCGCAGTATTTTGGCCGTGGCTTGGCAACTGCGGCGTGGTTTATCGCCACGCAGCCGGCTCCTCTTCCTTGCGCAAATATCGATGGCGCCTCCGCCAGCAGCCTCCACGATCATTGTGCTGGCGAGGGCACGAGGAGGAAGCGGGCTGGGGGGGAGGGCTGCTTCCTGTGCAGCGGACCGGGAGGCTCGCGGGGCAGGGCAGCCTGGGTCCGGGGGCTGGGTGCCGGCCCCCACGTGGATAGATTGTTGGGTAGGGACCGGTGTTGGAGCCTACATGGCATCATTTTAAATTTTCTTCGCGACCTGTGAAATTACGACACTGTGTGCGGTCATCCGTAGGTTTAATAAAAACAACACAAAGACACGACGTGGAACCCGTTAAATTTCATCCGGACCTATTTTATCAATCAATGTTTTAGAATTGAAACTTCAACCAGCTTAATAGTCGCTCCAAGCCTGGGGCTTGTCATTCAGACTCTGTCTCCTCGACAGACCTGCTCTCCACCTGAGGACGGATACTTGCGTTGTGGCCGAACGTCGTGAGAATTTATTATGTTTTATTATATTTTTATTATTCCATTCTACATGACTTTACCAAAAGAACCAAGAAGATGAATCCCTGCAGTCACGAAAGCTTTAAATCGAAATTTAACTGGTTTGACAAGTTAGTTATAATTTGTGACTGTTACTATAATTCTTTACTTCATCGCGCGTCCCATGTTGTTAACTCTACTGGACAGCCTCAATGCCTTTCATTAAAAGTACATTTTGTAAGATATAATTTGCATAGGTAATAGCGAATAGCTGAGGTTATAATCAATGTGAGCATTTAGAATTAAATAAGGGTACAATAAT